AACTTATTTCTTTGTATAGGCTCCCTAAAAGTGCTTGAATTGATTTCAGTAATGATATTCATCTTTCAGCAAGATAAATTTAAGTAAATTAAAATTAAGTAAATTAAAGAATACTATGTGATTTATTTATTTTATTGTGAATGTTAGTGTAATTATGTATGATTCTGACTTTGTTTATACAGGTAGTCCTCAACATACAATAGTTCATTTAGTGACTTTTCAGAGTTACAATGGCACTGAAAAAAGTGACATGACCAATTTTCACATTAACGACGGTTGCAGCACCTCCATGGTCACGTGATCAAAATTCGGATACTTGGCAACTGGTTCATGTTTATGACAGTTGCAGTGTCCCTGGGTCACATGATCATCTTTTGCAACCTTCTGAGAAGTGAAGCCAATGGGAAAATCAGATTCACTTAACAATTGTGTTACTAATTTAACAACTACAGTGATTCACTTAACAACTGTGAAAAGAAAGGTCATAAAATGGGACAAAATCCACTTAACAAATGTCTTGCTTAGCCACAGAAATTTTGGGCTCAATCATGGTCATAAGTCAAGGATTACCTATATTACATCCATGTCAATATATGTGGTACTAATTAATTAATTATAAGAAATCTATTGAAAACCTATTCTGTCAGATGTACTATATAAACGGCTATCTGTAGTGGGAGGGGGGGATTAAAGAAAAGTAAAAATAGTGATTGAAGCACTTGTGACCACCATCTTGCTTTTTCATCCTCTTTGTGGACAATACTGGCAGCTGATTAACAAGCAAAAAATGGAAAGCATGCACCTATGTGTAAAATATCCGTTCAGAGGCAATATGTTGAAGAGCTTGTACTGGACATCACTTTAGCTTGAAACTGGTGACTGATACTATGAAAGGATTAGTTATCACTTATACTTTTGTAGTATGTGTACTGTTTCTCTAATTAGAGCAGTGGCCCCCAACCTTTTTTGTGCCACGGCCCGGTACTGGCATCACAAAATGATCTGCGGCCTGGTACCGGCATCAGCACGCATGACAAGACAAGGCGAGCCGAGCGACCGGCCAGCCAGCCGTCCCCCGCTTCTCCCCGCCACCTTCAACTCCTCCTTTGTACCTTTGTCGATGGGCTCCGGGACGGCTTCGGGACGGTGGCTCGGCTCGCCTTGCCTTGGGTGCTGAAAGAATCCTCGCGCCTTAGTTTCGTTCGAAGCCGCCCCCCCCCCCCCTTCGATGAAACTAAGGCGCGAGGATTCCTTCAGGACCCAAACGCCGCTGTCCAACTGGAAAAGCTCACCCGGAAGCACTTTCTCATCGAAACAAGATGGCGGCACCCAGCAAACCAGTGGCCCGGTAGAAAATATTCCACGGACCGGTACCGGTCCGGGGCCCGGTTGGGGACCCCTGAATTAGAGGATTGGTGTGGATGATCTGTAGAAAATACTGTTCAGGTGTATTTCCCTTTTCAGTGACCTTTTAAACTTGTGAGCTTCTGTAAGGAAATGAGAAATAATAGTTCCTAGACTTCTAAATGTGCTTCAGAATATAGCTGAATGCTAAAGACATGGTTACTTACTCTGTGGCTTCCCTTTAGCAGAGTATTTTTGGTTTATATTTACTTTCATTTGCTTCATTTGCTTTTTTGATTATTGTACCCTGTGATGGTTTTACCTTAATGAGAAATCTTGTCATGAGATATTAGTCCTACTATTGTGACACTGAGCAATCGTCCCCCCATTTTTGTGGCTATCTATTTTATAATAACCTTTTTTAAATAAAGTAAAATAGTGTATTGTAAGTACTATTGGAAATATTTTACTTCAAAATAGTATAACTTTTTACTTGTCATAAATTTGATTTGTGACCTGCTACCCTGGAATTACAGAAACATTATGGGAAGAGAGCTATGTTAAGTCTGTGGCAAAAAAACCAGTGGAAAGCTCCGGGAGTTAATCAAAAGGAAAATATCTTAGAGAAAATAATGGAATACATATAACATACATATATAAGCAATTTTTTAAAATGTAAGATAATACTGTAATATTTCTAGACAAATTACTATCCAGGTATCTTGCATTATATACATCCACGTAATCAAATACTCTTTTTTTTTCTTGTGCATATCTGGCATTTAAATTAGATAGCAGTAATTAGATAATAATGAATACTTAAAAAAGTGAATTATACACTGAACAATTGCTTACTGCTAAGTGGATGAATAATTGATTGAAAGTGCACAGAAGTAATTTTAACATATTTGATTTTATTTGTTTTGGTAGGTCTACTCTATTTCATGTTATTGTACTTTTTTGTTCTTTTCCTGAGATGGTTTATTGGTAATCTCCTTCCATATTTTCCACAAATTCACGATGATAGTTGGATTACTTTGAGGGAAATATCATACAGTGCAGTAGGTCATAATGTAATTTGTTTGGTTTTGATTTAATATGCAGTCTTATACAAGTCTGGTCATTATTGGTTGTAAACTGATCTATGGGCATCAGGGAAACAATCATTGTGGTTTATTCAACCTAATTAAGATAAATTATAGTTTAATGCATTGTGTGAAATTAGTTTAGTAACAATTCATAAAGGTTATCAGTGAGTATTATAGTTAAGCAAATATTTTTCTGGATTCTAAAGCTTCCTGGAAGCAGGTGGTTTGTCTGTGACTGTAGCATTCCATTAATGTAATTGTAGTTCAGCATCATTAAAACCCTACTATTACCTTCATTTAAAATCTTTTTGCACTCTACCTATATATATTTATGCATGCTAAAGAGGTGCCTTTTTTCTTTGACAGGAGAAAAAAAAGTGGCTGTATTTGTGAAAATCATTGTGGTAGAGCTAACAATAGGAATTTACTAGATAACTGGAACTTTGGACTGTTTCTCTGTTTTTTGATAAAAGCATTATTAAGGGACTGATATTTGGGTCATAATTCATTTATTTTCTTGACAATGTAATATCTAAAAAAGGTTGAAAAGCTCTGTGTTAAAAGTATAGGAATAAAGATGAGATCGAACTTTACATGGGGATGTCGTATGACTTAATAGGTATAGCTGAGGTGTGATGCAATTATTTTCATATCTGGAGTACAGTAGTTGAAGGATACATATCATTCACATGAAAAAAATGGTAGAATGGGAAGTAGAATAATACGTTAAAATATTCACATCTACATCTTCAGTTTGAAGGTCCCAAACTGCTAGGGCTCCTGTAGCAACAAAACTCTCTTTACTTCTACTTTGTGTAGAAATGAATGAACTAAAAGAAAAAAAATACTATTAAGTCAGCCTCCTTTGTTGAAGTGAAGGGAAAGATAAAACACTTCTAGTCCTGCTATTTTGTTTAGGTTACTGAGGAGGAACAACAAATCTGTCAAGCTAGTATTCCTGTTATGAAATCTGAAGCTCAGAAGCTTGGAGAGGTGAGCCAAGAGTTCCCTCCAGTGATGGAATAAAGTCATAACATTTAAAAACCAGAAAACAACTAGCTTTGTGATAGTCATTTCACCTCACTGCAACCGAGTTGGTGCTGGAGAGTTGTTTTAATTGTAGGAACACAGGTGCCTTGACCTACTTTCTAACTGGTTTAAAATTCTCAAATAGAGAATGCCTAAATAGAAGAATTAAATAAAAGCAAAATTTATTGTTAATGTATATGACCATTCACATATGTATAAAGAGAAGATGTGACAGTTCAAAAAGACATGAAGAAGGCACTAGTACTGATGTTACCTAGATTGGGTAATGAAATGTCTGCAAGAAAACAAGCAAGTTCTGAGACCACCGAGGACAATTGTAAATGTGTATAAAATATTAATTGTAATGATCAGTGGCCAGCAATTCTTAAGTTGATCTATAAGCATATTCATGTAAAGCCAGTTTGGGATAATGGTTTTAGGCTAGAAGGCTTCATGCTAGAAACAAAAAAATTGTGAGTTGTAGTTCTACCTTAAACACATATCCAGCTGGGTGATCTTGGGCCAATCACTACAGTTCCCAGGAGTAAAAAAAATTACCTGAAAGCGCAACCTTTAAGAATGTATGTATATGATATACTACACTTTCTAGTTTCTGTGTTTTAAGAAATATATATAAACATTCTTCCATGTGCTATTACATATATTTACAGTGAGCTTATATAGTGGTGCACAAATTTGAGCTTGGTTTGGGGAATTTTTTCCCCCCACACATTAAAAATTATAGGGAACATCAGTGCATGGTTAGTAAGAGAAAGAAATAAGAGAAAAGGAGGATCGAGAAAATTTTGGGAGTGCCACGGCCACATAAAGGGAGGGAAAGAGGAGAGGACAGAGGCATACTAGTTACTCCTAGTTGCTTCACAAGTCTAGAATTTGTCTCAGGTAAAATCTGGAACTTCCAATGTGGCATAGGTTTTGAATCTAATAGCTCACAATCTGCCTTATTTCATACACAATTGAACAAACCACGAAGTGGTTACTTTGAAAATTCAAACCACAAGTAGCAATGTCCCCTACCAAATTCAATAGGGTTCTCCTGCATAAATATATTGCCAAGCCTACTGATAGACCAAGCTCAGAAAACAACCTCACAGGAAGACTACGACCATTTCTATTGAGATTGGCAATAATAAGATCTTGCAAAAATGATAGCGTTGTACCTCTTCCTCCTCCTTATAGTTCAATGTATTAGGGAGGCAAGCTATTGAACTGCTTCTGATTATTATCTTGTTTTGAATTTTAAAAATGCTTCACCTCCTTTTTCCTGCACAACGCCTTTAAGGTAATCTTTTTTACTCTCTCTACATTCACCGGGAGTGGAAGATTGTCTCCCATTCTTGTGTTTTTTGGGTTTTTGTTGATGCTCTAAAAATTCCCTCTCATTTTTGAAAGCATCTTGTATGTATTTAAATAAGGGTGGGGAGGTGTTGTGCGACAGCTATATATATTATGCTTAATGTATAGCTTTTGACTGAATAGCTGCAGTGCCTTAATAGTATTTATTTTTTTATGTTGTAGGAACGTGGTGAAAGATGGTGGATCGCTTGGCAAACAGTGAAGCAAATACTAGGCGAATAAGCGTAGTGGAAAACTGTTTTGGAGCTGCTGGTCAGCCTCTGACCATTCCTGGCCGTGTCCTCATTGGTGAAGGAGTATTAACAAAGCTGTGTAGGAAGAAACCAAAAGCAAGGCAGTTTTTTTTATTCAATGATATCCTTGTATATGGTAACATCGTTATCCAGAAGAAGAAATATAATAAGCAACATATCATTCCTCTTGAAAACGTCACTATTGAGTCTATCCAAGATGAGGGGGATTTGCGGAATGGCTGGCTGATCAAAACTCCAACTAAATCTTTTGCAGTATATGCTGCTACTGCCACAGAAAAATCTGAATGGATGAACCACATCAATAAATGTGTTTCTGATTTGCTGTCCAAAAGTGGGAAGACGCCCAGTAATGAGCATGCAGCTGTCTGGGTACCCGACTCAGAAGCCACTGTTTGCATGCGTTGCCAGAAAGCAAAATTTACCCCTGTGAACCGTCGACACCACTGTCGGAAATGTGGATTTGTTGTATGTGGACCCTGCTCTGAAAAGAGGTTTCTTATACCCAGTCAGTCTTCCAAGCCTGTGCGAATCTGTGACTTTTGTTATGAATTCCTTTCTATGGGAGAGATGTCAACATGCCAGCCCACAAGATCAGACTCTTTCAGCCAGTCACCAAAGCCTCCTTTAAATGACATATCAGATGATGATGATGATGATGATAGCAGTGACTAAATAATGGAAGAAAATGTTTTTATATTACAGTTGGTGTTTGAACTTGAGTTGTTGTATGAGAAACCTCTAGTTTCAAGTTCTCCTGAGAAATCTACCCTAGCTATTAAATTTGCCTGAAAAACCTTTCAATCATATGTGCCTCAGTATTTAAACCTCTAAAATATGTCATTACTCTTTCTGCAGGGATTGACTATTGCAAATACTTTCCAGCCATGTATACTTGATTTTCTTTCTACAAGTAAATTGGTCAGCAGCTCCACTTTTCTGAAGAAAAAGATTAGAAAATGTAGCAGAATTTTTTTTCTTTGCAGTTGTGCTAATAAGTAGTCCATAGTATGAATTCTTTTAATATTAGGATGGGGGAATTAAACCTGCATGAAACCAGTAATTTGGTTAGAGATTGAAAAGGACATCTAACCAAACTTTGAAACTGATCGTTTACTTTTATTCTATATATTATAAATTCTGAAATGTTAGTAACTTTTTAAAAACAATGCAAAATGTTATACACCAAGCAGTGCCTTGTAATGACTGCACTGTTGCAGGAAAAAAAAATAACTTTGCACCGTCTGGTATGCGATCATCTAAGAAACAGTTGGTGCTATTAGGATTAATTGTTCTTGTATAATGGGATTTAAATAATAAGGGTTGTGACTTCATCCCTGAAACTGAGGGCTATCCAGCATCTCCTTGCACAAAGTGATTTTCATTAGGACGCAAGGTGAAGATAGATTCAGCACTATTGCGCAATGATTATTGTGAGTTGATCACAAGTATGGTGCTCCCACAAAATGAATAAAACAAATGGGGGCTTTTAAATAATTAATCTTTCAGATGGATTTGATATCTAAACCACTTTCAAACTTGTACGATATTGTTAAATGTTTATAATTATCAGGTATGGTTAATTGAAAAGTTTTGTCTCAGATCATGTTACTTGCTGTAATGTTTTGATTTGATATTTAAATCCTTAGATTATTTACTAACCTTTTTAAACTGTAGGATGTGGATTTAAAAATAAACTGTATTCTAAAAGCACAAATTGGGAGAATGGGCTAGCTATTCTTTTGAAAACGACATTTGTACACAGCTGACCTCAAGATGTAAATGAATTGCAGGTGATTTTATTTTAAATGTCTAAAATCAAGACCTGACAAATAGTACAAAAGGTGTTTTCAGTAAAAATTTTACTTTGTACAATATTCTTTCTATAATGGTGTCAATTTTAGAGAAATGTCAACTTAGCTACAAAGTTTTGTAAAATCCCACAACATACCTCTATTTTTATATAATAGTATGTTTAATTGTTTTACATAGAAGTCTCTTGACAGAATTGTGTGGGAATTCAATAGTACCTGAGAATTTATAAATAACATGCTGAATATTATTCATGCAAAATTATATTGTGCTTAATAAGTCACAGTTTCTGCACTGTTTTCTGCTGATTTAACTATATTTATTAAATAAACCATTAGATTTGCATCTGTGAACTTGTCTACCATTCTATAATCTGGTTGGATGAAGAGTATAATATCCAAATTGGGACAAAAAAAAATCATATGAGGAATCTAGCTATAAAGTGATAGAGTGGGCTCAGTTGACTTGCTTAGAATCTGTGGAACAGCTGTATTGATGATGAGAATTCATCATCATGAGATAGATTCCCAGTTGAGATGGGATAGATGGGATAGATTCCCAGTTGATATTCAAATGCCTGAATCGGGAAGAGCCTTGCATTTATGCTGGGAGTTCAGACTTGTGCACATAATTTTTGAAACTCTCAGGTCTCCCCCAGCTTTCCTATTTGCTCCTTGAATCTTAAAATTCAACATTTGAGGACACAATATTTAAAAGGTTCATTAATTATAGTAAAAGTAGTTTTACTAGAATGATTATTTCTAGCATACTATAATATATACAACAGCTTCATTCTGGCAATAATTAACTTCAAGGAGGCTTGTCCTTATGCAGTTATGAGATTGAAGGCTTCCTCTTTATTAACCAAAGTTTAGTGTATTGTCTGAACCCCATATTGTGGTTAAATCTTACAGGCAAATCACATAAATTATAGAGTGAAATTGGACTGAGTTTAGATAACTTGTCAAACAAATTAATTCTAAAATTGTTGAGGCTAAGATTAGGAGAAGAGACAATCTGGGACTCACTGAGGCTTATTCTTATGGTAGACCATATACTTACATTATATCTGATGTTGCGTTTTGCAATAAGTACTAACGACGATTGTCCATCTGTACATTACTATTTCCATAATTACCATTGATGCTTAGAAATGGGTAGTTTGAAGGATGCCCTCCAAAGTGTGCTTCTTTATGAAGAAGCCAATGAAAACTTTTCGAATTGGCTGGATATACTTAATTTTTTTTCTACTGTTTATCAAAATCTTTTGCGGATATAATTCAATTTTCTTAATGCTTATCTTACAATCTTTCTGTACTCAGTATTGAATGTAATTTTTATATTTGCCCAGTTATCTTTATATGCTGCACATATAAAGCACTTTCATTTATTTGGCCACAAGTTAGCACTTTCATTTATTTGGCCACAAGTTCCTTCTATCAGCCTTCAAATCCAGTCATTTAATACAAATGAAATTTTGCATATGCTACAATTAATCCCTGATGCTGTTACCAATTGACAATGTAAAACAAGTAATTGTAAGATTAGGAGTGTGAAAGAAAGGTTACCAATTTTATGATTTTTCTCATAATTTTATTTTGGAAAGCAAGCTATCTTGTGTGTTAAGTCAACTTTGAGAGAGGCTTAATAAATGATTTTGTAATTTTGTCAGACTGCACTATTTTCATTGTGTAAATCTGAGGGAAACTATCAATAAGCAAGGTTTTTTTGCTTGTTCCCAGTATGTAAAAAGATGTTAAAAGTGCACCGTGAAAAAGATATACTAGTTAAACATTACTTACCATTTGAGAAATAAATTCTAATATGAAAAGTGAAAGGATTTTGGAATGCTTCCACGGAAGATCACGCCTATTCTGGAGGGAAAGATGTTATTTCTTAAAATTAAGGGTGGCAACCAGTTAAAGAACTTGTTTATTTTTAAATGATTGATTTGTTCAAATACACAGAGAAATTGTCTATTTTTGTAAATAGTAAAGGACTCTGAATGTATAACTTGCAACTTATGAAGTAGCTTTATTTGAATAGAATAGTCATTATATCCCTTAGATATTTTCTTAATGCTGTTTAGTCGAATGCCTGTACCTTGCACCAAGACCCTTTGTTCTCCAACATATCTTATGTTCCTAGGATCCCATGTGCAAGATTTAATTTCTGACTCAAGTTTTAAGTCCCATTTTTGTTGTACTTACGTTTGGCAATATTTGAGGGGTATAAATATAAAAATATTTAACTTAAAAAATTTCTAGTAAGATGGTAGAGATGAATTCTACTCTATTCTATTCAAAACATTTTTGGAGGTTGAAATCAGAGCTCCTGTTTAGGCAAAGGTCCCAAGTTGTTTCTTTCTGGCTTGCTAAACTAGAAGAGGTTTTTCTTTTGTGGATTTGAATACTGTAACTTTTGGATGCTACAGGGCTTTTTCTCCATATCAGTGTTTATCACAATTTGCAAACTAATCTTACATTGGCAGAAACTCCACCCCCCCCCCCCCCCGAAAATACACACCCTTCATTCCTTGCTGAAACAGGAATGAAGCCACAAGGGTGGAGAGGTTGTTTTCCAGGTTGAATCGCATTGTATCTTTTGGGAGAAATGGATTGCTTGTAGCCCAAGAACAAAAAGAAGATTCTCCTGTTAATAATTGCCAAATGTAGCAAAAACTGACATGCATGTTTGTGTTGTGTGGGTTTGTGTGGGTTTATGTGTTCAGGCATAAAACGTGCCTAGATTTGATTTACTCTGACACTACCCAAGGGTATTGGGGCGGGGAACTTAAAACATTCAGAAAAGCCTGAAGATTGACTAATTAAAGCCCATCCCTTTTTCATCTGTATTGGTAATACTCATTAAAAAGGGACAGGGCTTCAATTTTGCAATCACATTTTGATGTTTTGACCTAATAGTAATTACTTTAAAATTTTTAAAGCAATATAACAGATCCTATAACTCATAATTAATGATATATTGAAAAATGATTCCAACATTTTAGATTTCTTTATATGTTATTTTACTTTTATTCTTTTTTATTTATATTCTTTCTCTAAAATATCTAATTTTTTTTAAAAAAAGAAATTCTACCCATTCCCATTAGCGTCTCATCTGAAAACCCCAAATACAAATATAAAAACATTCCTTTTAAAACTGATTTTTTGCCCCATATCAGTGACATTATCCCAGGGGATATCTGTTGAAAGCCATATAATGATGAGAAGGACAAGATGGAAATGTAAGCATAATTGCTCCTTTTTCTCTTATTTTCTAAAACTGCTCCTCTTCCCATAGTGGATTTCTGGAGAACAAGATTGCTGTCAGCAGAAATCCAAGCTTCTGGCTTGCAAAAGGGTTTCAGAATTATGCTGAGGGCTATAGAGTTGCCTCTCCTACTGTAAGTACACACACACATTTTCAGGCACAAAGCAGGCTATGGGGTGACCACAAACTGGTTTTTACAGAGTCTTGAGGTCTGACAGTTAAAGTGTAGCTCCACATTTGACCATTAAATTAAACATACCCTCAATCACACAGAGCAACTCTGAATTTAAAAAAAGAGCAACTATGAATAGAACCAGCTCTGTTCAGTTTAAAAAAAGAAACCCAGAAAATAGCAATAATGCTGATGGATAAAGAATAGGGAAACACAGTCAGAACCAATAAGTACAGGACTTGGTTGAGAGTTTTGTGGTCTCTGTTTTTAAGCTGGTTTGTAGTTTGAAGGGTACTTGGTGATTGTTTTCTTGCAGACATTTCATTACCCAAACTAGATAACATCATTAATGCACTGATGTTACCTAATTTGGGTCATGAAACATCTGCAAGAAAACAACCAAGCTCAGAGAGCACCAAGGACCCCTCATTTCAACCCTGACCCACAAATATTATCCTTTATTTAGTTGCACAACTTAGCTCAGGAATGTTCAGAATTTCTCTGTGTTGCATCAGAGTCACAAGATTTTGATGCATCATCTGAGGCGAAAATTCATTTTATTTTATCACAAAATAGTTGACTAATTGGAGAAGGAAAGTTATGCTTGAACATTAATGGAATAATATGATTTGTGTTTGTCTTCTTTTAACATGCTATGCATAGGTTCCAAAGCCTTCTGAATCCTAAGATAATGCATTAACAGCTCACAGTTTGAGCAGTAAGAGGAAACTGGCCAAGGAGAGCCTCTGGACAATTATATCTGATGTGCCAGTTGTGACCTTTCGTTAATCAAGAAATACAGTACATAGACATTCGTGCCTCAGGGTTGGACTACTACAATTTCTTCTTTGTGAGATTGCTCTTGAAGACTATCTGCTTATGGTTCAACACATACTGCCAAGATGGCTATGGGTGCACTTACCTTTGCTGATGTTAATATCTCTACTCAAGAACCATTGATGGTCAGTCATCTTCTGGGCACAATTTAAATTGCTGGTTATTATCTTTAAAGATCTTACCTCAATGTCTGGATATTTCCAAGATGGCCCAATCTGAAATGATTCTGGAATTAAATTGGGGAGAGGAGGCTTTTGAGGATCCAATCCTCAATATAGTTAATGGTGTCCCCATTTCTGTGGAACCATTTGTTTTTGTACATAAGGATCACCACCTTCCTGGGGGTTTCTTTGGGACTGGGAAAGTATAGTCATTTGATGAAGGACTCGGAGATGTGAAATTCAGGCCTGTCTCGTGAACTCTGCTGCTGTGCGGACTTATTTTCTGTTTAAATAAACAAAATTCTGCCATCCTTTTAAGTGAATTGTTTACTAAAGACCAAAAATCAGTTGTTTCTTTAGAGGCCCTAATGGTTAGTCAAGAATGGGCAAATTAACTGCAGCCTGGAATGGGACAACTTGCTATAACCAACTTGCTGAGGCTAACTCGCTGTGGGGCAATTTAACAAGTGTATTTAATTATTTAAAATAAAACATATTTAATTTTTGCCATTCACATTTCATACTGTCTCTCCTTTTGCATCCTTTCTTTAATGATTCCAGTCCACCATTTCTTTGATATTAGTGTAAGTCTTGTTCTGCAGTGAGTTGTCCTCAGCGAGAAAGGGCTGTACGAGGATTGATGTACAGGTAGTCCTCAACTTAGGACCACAATTGAGACGAATTTTTTTCCATACGTTGGTCGTAAAGTGAGTCATTATGTGATGATTTGATTTTATAATCATTTTTACCATGGTCATTAAGCGAATCACATGGTTGTTAACCAAATCATGTGGCTGTTAAGAAAATCTGACTTCCCCAATTGACTTGGTTGGAAGCTGGCTAGGAAGGTTGCAAATTGTGATCGTGTGACTGCAAGATGCTGGAACCATCATGAATGCGAGCCATTTGCCAAGCACCCGAGTTGCAATCCCATTCCCTTTATTTATCTCATAAATCACGGTCATAATTCACTTTTTCTAAAGACATCATGACTTCAAACCATTGTTAATCAAGTGGACATAAGTTGAGGATTATCTGTAGTTAATTTCTTGCAGAACTT